TTGGGAAAGTGAGTAATGCTAAGAAAACTTAAGAAGTTCAAGGACCTATGGAATGATTGTTAGCTTATGAATAAGGTCCTAGCAACATCCGAGGACGAATGTTTTTAAGGAGGGAAGATTGTAACACTCCTCAAATATATAGAAGTTTCAACACACGCGAAATATAGAATTTAATTTTTTTAATTTTAAATTATACTTCTATTACGGATTTAAACTCTTGTGATTGATTTTTGAGTTACTTCTATATTTATAAATAATTGAATATACAATTAGGGAAATATTAATAATTTTAAAAAAGTAGGTATAACTAAATAATAGTTAAGTCAAAAAAATAGAAAAGAGAAACACAATAATAGAAGTACGTGCCAAGCCTAAGCCCATTAAGGGTTGTTGGAAGTCAAGAGGCGTAATAGCCTTATAAGAACAAAACAGAATTAACATTCTGTTTGCTAAAAAAACAGAGGCAGTAGACTATTCACGCAGGCAACAAAAATTCTATGGTTCTTTACGAATAACTAATTCTTGAACTCAGGTATATAAAATTCTCTATTATCAATTATCCTAAAGTAGTAGTAGGTAAAAATTGAGTAGTTAATTCCCTTCTTTCTCTGTATCAATATTAAATTTCATATCTAGGTGTGAAACTTTAAAATTGATTAAAATGCGCTGGTTATTGTAGAATCGATTATTTGACGGGTATAAATTGGACTGGGCCTATGTATTGGCTCGAGGAGTTTTGAGGTGAGTTAATATAACTCTTTACTAAAGTAGTTTAACTCACAAAAGCACGCATACACAGTATTTGATAAATTTCTTAAAAGAGTTAATATGTACTTAATTGGAATGAGTGAGTACGTATCAACTTAGAATTGTTCTAGCTAAAGTTTAGATAATTTATTATGATATATGTGCATAAATTTTAAGTTTTTTTTGTTATTCTTACATGCCATTTTCATATTGAAAATTCGTGAAGAAGCAAGAATCTTTAGAAATACTTTTGAATGTTTATTTCATGCTTTACATTTAAGGATACCAGTATGAGTATGTATAGGATGTTCCAGAAAAGATTTAGACTTGAAAAGTCACAAGAATAAGTTTTAGAAAGAGAAGATTTTAGGAGTATCATCTATTTTGAGAAGGGGTCATCGTCCAGGCCGATAGTCCTGATCAAGGCGTTGACTTCCTGAAACTACTTGTGCCAAAGTAGGGAGCACACGAACCGAGGGTCTCGTTGCTGAGAATTTACCTAGCCATCTAAGGTATGACACATGAGCGCTGAGAACCATGAAGCGAGTGGCACCTCGTGGATTGGGACTATTCGATCATGTTGGGATCGAACCCGTGCCGATCATACGGTGACCGAGATAAAATTAAGTCAAGATAGTTGGAACACCCGAAGTATAGAGTGAAGTATTTTTTTCATAAGAAAGAAAACTAAAAGAATTTCTTTTAGAATATTCATAAACTACTATTATGAAATTATTTTAGAATTGTTCTTAGAAGCTTTATGTTTTTCATGCATTTAGAATCCTTACTCGTAATGTATATTTTATTAAAGTTTCCTCCCCTATCGTTGAGACTCACTAAGTACAATGGATGGTACTGTCGTTCTCTTTTGGAAACTTACGTTGGTCTACGGTGAGCTATTGGTGAGCTCTGCTTTTGTTCGTAGAGTATTCCTTTGAGTCATATTTATTTAGTTATTTCTTTGTTTACTTGGAAAACTAGCTAGACAATCTCATGTCCTGAACAGTGTATCAGTTTATCAAATAGAGGCTTCATAGACAGTAGATGAGTTAAGATTCAGATGTTTTTATAATAACTTAGCAATATTTAGTGGTTACTATGATAAAGTTTTGGAGTTAGTTTATTGTAGATATTTAAATTAATTGAAACTATTTGATTAAAGTATTGTCTTGTTGCATATAAAGTTTAAAGTTATAATATATTTGATAAGCGTACATGCTTCTCTCAGTCAAGTTTAGTGATCAGGTGACGGTCACGGGTTGTTCAGAAAATGGGTCGCGAGACAGAGGCCCGCCTTATAACGTTCGGGCACATTATTTAAAGTTGTTAGAATAAGGATCCATTATATAAGGATCCTATCGGATTCAGTTAGGAACGGGCTTTTCTTTTTAGAAATTTAATTTCATAAGTTTTCTCTTTTGGAAACAACGTACACAGTTTTTATTTATAAAATTTTTGAATAAAATTCAAAAAAGATCTATCCACAACCTCGACTTATCCAGGTATTGCTAATTTTTGTTAATTCCTCTTATATTAGGATTCATTTAGCCTAAATGATAGGCTAAATAATTTTGTGTTGAACTTAAAGCACAATACGCTACTGTGAACATATTTTGTTATCGTTAACAATTGTATCACCCAACGATTCTAAGTTTGAGACTACAGAATCCAGGCAATACAGTAGTCCAGACAAAAAGCCCGGGTTATGATTTCATAATCGGACGTCCCGTTGAAAGAAGTTGTAGCCGAGTATTCGGGTTTTGGGTTTGCTTGACAGGACTATTCGCTTAACATGACCGGTGTCTCGGTAAAAACTTTCCTTTTAGTTCCATCAAAGCGATCTAGAACACAAATTAAATTGTTTTTTTTTTTAAAATAATTTTAAAACTNATATATATATTTAAAAATAATTTTAAACCCCAACTTGAAACCATTCTCCAATTTGAATAGGTAAATTTTTTTATTTAATATTTTCGTTTTTATAATTAAATATTTTTAAAGCTTCAACTTTTTTTTAGTTTTGTCCTAAAACTCTACATTGTCATCTTATGGATATGTCACTTGGTATCATATAATTATTTTATTTATCTTTTTATGAATACACACACACTACTATTAGAAGAAACTATTCCCCAATTTAAATTGGTAGTTTTTTATTTGCTCTTATTTTCGTTTTTTTTATTTTAAAATAATATTAAAATTCCAACTTGAAACTATTCTCCAATTTGAATTGGTAATTTTTTATTTTCTCTTATTTTCGTTTTTGTTTAATTTAAAATAATTTTAAAACTCCAATTTGAAACTACTCCCCAATTTGAATGGGTAGTTTTTTTTCGTTTTTTATTATAAAATAATTTTAATACCTCAACTTTTTTTTGGAGCTTTGTCCCAAAAATTTACATTTGTCATCTTATGGTTATGCCATTTAGCTTAATATGGTAACTTTGTTTCTCCTTTTATCATATATAGACGTGGCTTAATATGGTAGCTTTACTTCTCCTTTTATTATATATAGATATAGATTATTGCTATTACATTACCTAATATATAGTATGTCATGCTTTTATGTGACCTTCATTAACTTTCCTCTTTATTTAATACCGTTATCCATTTATATCCTTTAATGTAATATAGCTCAATGTGTGATTTTTTAATCTTGAAATAAATATTTATATTATTTGAAATTAATATTCGAATTTATTAAATTGTTTAAATTTATCAATAATATTTTTATCCATTATATAGTAAAATTTCCAATATTTGGATTTAGTTATTTAGTATTAATTAATTAAGAAATAATTTATATGTGGTTTTTTCTGGTTATGCCACATGGTTGAATTAGTTATTAGTTACTCCCTCTCGTCCAAAATAAGTGATTTTTTGGCTTTTTTCTTGTGGTCCAAAATAAGTGATTTTTCCAGATTTCAAGAATGAATTAATTATTTTTTTCCTACATTGCCCTTGGAGTAATTAATGTTGGAGTATGTGTTAGGAGTGTTTATGTGAAGAGACAATCAAGGTTAATATGGTAATTTCATTGCTAATTAATGTTAAAAGGTGAATTTCTTAATATGTGTGAAAACAACCAAAAAAATCACTTATTTTGGACCGGAGGGAGTAATAGTTAATTAGTTAGAGGGTGTTTGGCTAAAAGCTTATAAGCTGGTCAAACTGGCTTATAAGCACTTTTTGGCTTATCAACGCGTTTGGTAAAATCAAAAGTGCTTATAAGTTAAGTGCTTATAAGCCAAAAATAAGTCAAAAGCCGTAAGTTGGTCTCCACCAACATATCAAATTTCAGCTTATAAGCACTTTAAGTTTGACCAAAATAATTACTATTCTATCCCTAAAATATTTCCTTTTAAAACAAAACTCTTCGTATACCCAGTTCTTCAAGTGCATATTATTAATTTCAGCACTTTTATCCAAACACATAACTGCTTATTTTTTAAATCAGTTTTAACACTTAAAAGTGTTTTTCAGCACTTAATGCTTATCAGCTAAGTCAAACGGGCTCTTAATATGTTACATGTGACTAATTTTAAGGATGTCACTTGGCTTAAGGAGAGGGCTTTTTTCTCTCTTGTTAATAATATATACATTTGATGATATTTATTTTTGTTTATCTTTTTAAATAAATAATATAGATAGATATTTGTATGTGTACTATATTTGAAGATTTTATTTTAAAAAATAACTTGTTGCACTAAGCTTCTGTTATGCATAATTTTGAAAAAAGTGTGATCACATCGAATCTATTATATGAAGTCTTACCTTGCATTCCAGAATATAGAAGTACAACAAAAGATTTATATAAATAAACATTATTTTAACTTTTTTTCCTAATAGAATAGCTTACACATGGTTAATTACATTTATAATTAAATAATTCCAACTGACTAGTGTTTATTTTAAAGTAAAGGCTTATTTGGTACAAGTGATAAGGGATAATTAACTCCAGGATTAAATTTGAAATGAGTTTATCCCATTTGGTGGGAATAAAATTGCAGTATTACTAATCTGAGGATTCCTTATCCCAGGATTGTACTGTTTTTCTTATCCCTGTGGGAGATTGGGAGGTAGGATGACAAACCCAGGATTAATTATCCTAAGATAATTTATTTCCCAACCAAACAACCTCTAAGTTGTGTAGTTGATAAATTCTTTATGAAGCCTTAAGATTTTATTTCTAATTTTTAACCTTATTTCAAGTGCTCTTCACCTTGTTATTAAGAGTATTTGAATAATTTAAATCAAGAAAAGAAATACCATATGACCATTTTAGCCGTGGAGATGTTTTTTTGTTAATAAGGACTGTTTCAGCATCATATACTGAGCTACAAAACTATTTACAATGCCTTCTTCCTCTTGGAAAAGAAAGGCAAAAAGTTAGCTACAGTTACATTGCAAAAGGATTTGAGCTACTAATTTCCATTAATGTATATGGAATGAGAAATCAGTTTTCTTCATCAGAATCAAAAGTTGGCCTTCTCCTTAAAGACTCAATCACTTCAGCAGGCATGTCTCTTCTACTAAATGTTCCACCTGAGTTAGACTTGAGCCTAGGTGTCTTCATTGCACTAAGTGGAGGAGTTAATGTTCCTTTATTCACTTCCCTGAGCACTGACCGAGCTGCGACAGCCGCCACTGCATCTGCCACGGCTGAAGCTATTTTTGTATTTCCCTCATCAGATTTCTTGTTTCTGAAGCTTGAATTTGCTTTAGGATTACTTGGCGAGCGATAAAGCTCTGATCTTTGCATGGTTGCAACTGCTTCGGCAGCAGCTGATTTTGCCTTCATTGTTTCATATCTTTGCATGTCGTAAATGAGCTCTTTCTGGAGTTGTTTATCAGCAACCAACATGTCATCAATCTCATTCTTGTAATCCTTGAGAAGGTTCCTAAGGCATTCCATGAGAGAACCAGTAAGAGGACTGTTTTTGCTCTCGAGTAGACGTTTTAACTCTATAAAGATGGGGATTGTATTCTGGATTAAGCTTTTCTTGACTGCTTGTGTTATTGCTTTTCCGTTTGCTGCTGAGGATGCTCCTCCATCTGCCCCTTCTTCTTCCACGTCCGCTGATTCTGAGGTTGACCCGCGGCTAGAGGAAATTCGTATCTCCTTACTAGAAAGAACTTGGAAAGCGTCCTGATCACAACAAAATTTGCACCTGAGTATCAAAACAAGTTTATTTACCAACAAAATTTCTCCAATTGGTGAAGGAATCCTCATAATCCTCTCACAAACAACATGAGATTTAAGCTCAGTAGTACGGAGCACAAGATAAAATCTTCTATTGTAGTCAAACTCCAAAATTAAGGAAAGACCATGGACTATGGTTTTAGGTGATATACAACAGCAGCAACTACTACTACTACTACTATGCCTCAATCCCAAACAAAGCTGGGGTCAGTGATATGAATCCTCATTTATTTCTTTGAGCTCAACTCATATCATCATCAATGCCAAAATAAGATAATAGTAAAGTAGTAGTGAAAATAAGTTTTATATGTATGTATGTGTGTGTGTGTGTGTGTATATATATATATATATATATATATATATAGTAGCAACAATAAAAATATAGTAATGATATTAAAAGTTCTTCTACAAATTTAAAGCATATACCCGCACCTAAGGTGATATGCACTATATCTAAAGGCCAGAAGTCCTTTTCATTTTTTCTATTTATGGGGGCTGAGGTCATTGGTTAGGAATTGATACCTGCAAAACAGACTGTCCAGTCACATCGTCAATACTAAGCAAACCATCAGATGCAGCAGCAAGGATCTCGGCACATATTTTGGCAAATGTGGCTAGTACGTGTGCTGGAGCCATTTGTTTTAACAATGTCACATAAATGTGCATTCTTGAAGACCTCGACTTCTCATCATTTCCTCTGGCACAAAAGTAAAAGTTAGAGGAGTTTCTTGTTAATGACCAGATTATAACAAAAGACAACATGCTTACCGTATAGAAAAAAGCCGTGTTTCATTTCGTGAATTCTGAGGATTGCTACATCCGGTATGAGGGTTGCAGTCATTCAGCACAAACATGGCTTCTACAAAACTATTATAGGCTAAAAGTGGTTCTTTACCTGCAGCGAAATTGCAAAAAAGGGGAATAATTAGTTTAGCAGTCAGATATATTTTTAATTGCAAAACTTTACAGAGATTCAACCTTTTAATATATTTCCAAATAGATAATCAGCCAATTGTCTTATCTTCTCTGATTCATCAACAAGAGATAACAGGAACCGAAAGAAAAGTACTCCTTTCACCTTGACATAGTCTCTCTGAGTACAAGAGACGACAGATCACAGTTAGCAAAAGATAATCCAGAGCTTGCCTAAAACTTAGAAAGAGAATGACTTGAGAAGATAAGGACGTACCTGGCAAAGTCTGGATAGAAGTATAAATGTCTGCCTTCTAACAACTTCAGATGAATCACGTAGACTTTTGGTGATCTTTGGTAGGTAACTTTTTGATTAACAATTGTACACAAATTATGTCAGGGGAAGCTATATTCGCTAAGCTGATATAGACATGCTTATGAATGCCAATGGACTCACCAGTCAACTAGAGCAGTGTACCGTACCCAGAAATCTGCCATGACTACAACTATGTTGTTGCGGAGGGCAGCACAATCACCCTTTTCAAGCTCCTGGAAAACACAATAATAGGGGAAAATGTCAGTAGCAGAAATTATACTGTAAGAGGTCGTTTGGTTGGGAAACAAGCTATCCCATGATTAATTATCCCAGGATTAGTTATCCCACCCTCCCATAGGGATAAAAAAAATACTCCAATCCCGGGATAACTAATCCCAGGATTAGTTATAACACGATTTTATCCCAACCAAACGTGGGACAAACTCATCTCAAAATTAATCCCGGGATTAACTATCCCTTATCTCTCGTACCAACCGAGCCCTAAAGCAACTTTTTTGCATGGGCAGAATCCTAATCCGTATGAACCAAAGATCCCAGTTTCATCGAACACATTTCTCCCTCTTTGTAGCTAAAAGAACTTAGTAACAGTGATCACATGTAAATGTAATTGTATATTCACCTTCAATAAATACCTAGAAAATCAATCACAGTGACATATTTTCATTTCCATTCACGTGCAAATGGTCAACAATCTGCAATAGTAGTTTTTTTCTTTTTTGAGTCATTTAGAGACCTTGAATATAGAGCACTGTCAGAACAAGCCATACCTGGACAAACAGAGGAATATAGCGCTTTGCAAGTTTTCCATCAGCGAGGCAGATCTTGGCCATGGTTAGCCAAGCTTGAACATATAAGGAAGGAGCAGTCTGCTTTATGGAAATGGAAGGCTCTGCTGGTTTCTTAGGTCTAGTGCTACTGGTACCGGAAGTAATGATCGTGTGTAAAATGGGAACAACGGTTGATACATTAGCTGAAGGACAAATAATAACTAAAGATCCAATAGTATGAACTGCAGTCATTGTTTGTTGTAGTGTTTTAGAGTGTGATGCCACTGTTCTTTTTCCCTTGCCAGTCGTACCCCCAAATGGTGTGAGAAAGATATCATTTCCCTGTTCTTCCATACTCTTTGACATGTACGCATCAAGAATTCTAGAAGCTTTGGATAATAGCTGATTTACCCATTTCATAACAAGGCAATCAGCCTCTTGAGGGTTAAGAGCCTTCCTCTTGCACAAAGTTTTGAGTGCGTTCAGGTGAGCACTAACCTGCCACAGTCAAGCCAACATTCACATGTTTGCATTTGCAATTTGATTGTTTTCTATCCACCAAAACTGCTAATTGTGCTGTCAAACTACAATAATCATTGTTGGAAGTTGATATAATGCACACAATCAACCAAGTTCTCTCCCATTTGTGAACTGCATTTGATGTCCTATTGTTTCACAGTTGAAGTAGGCTTACTAATAATAAAAGCTCGGTTCTACTCCTTTGAAGTTTCAGAGTGTAGTAAACAACATATCTTATTTTGCAAAGTTTCTACACCAAGTAATAAAACAAATTCATATGCACATCAATTGTCCTCTGTAAATCAAAAGTTTCTAGGCATTTCCCTCGCTAGTATACCATAGTAGCAAGTGGAATTTCCAAAATACTGAGCAACATATCGATTGCTAGAGGTAAGGCATTTAAAAGTTGAAAGTTCAGGAAAGCAGAAAACAGAAACATATTCAAGCACTTTCGTATCAATGCTTCCTTTCAAGAAAAAAGCTAACTGAAATCAAAGTGCAGGCAACCAATTAAGCTAAATGAAGCACTTAGATTATTAAGACATTTGTCAACCTTGTTTGAAGTCCGCTGAAGGAACTCACATGCAAATTACATATAATCCCTTATCAATGGCAAGGAGGGCAGGGCACATGAAAGTATAATGTGAGATACTACTGATAGCAGATACCTCTGTCGGATGCATGTTAAACTCCTCTAGACGTTGAAGAAGGTTATGAGCCAGATCTGCCGCAGGCTCAGGAGGCAGATCCAACGAAACATTAGCGATTGTTTGCAAAAGATATACACGATCTGCAGCCCATGAAAAAGTGTTTGATGTTGTATTTAGCCCTTCCTCGCTATCATGATCACCAGTGGCTTTATACTTGTCAAGGATCTGCCAATGATGATGGAGGAATTCCCAATCCGTAGCTCGGGAAAGGTATGCTGACACCTCTGAGAGTAGAAACCAAGCACCTGGAGGAGCTGTCCACTTATCTATTGGCATGGAATTGCTCAACCACAGAGATTCAGATGACCTTATGATCTTTTGAAGTGTAATTACAATCTTAGGTTTGAGTTTTTTCTTCTTTCCTAAACTTGTGCAGATCTTCTTCACCCATGGTGTCACCTCTCCATCGCATATCTCTCTCAATATACCTAGGACTCCTTGAGGATACAACAACTCCTTTTCCATCTCTATAGTTGCTGCCTTGCCATTTGAACTACTGTCAGATGCATGCTTCACGGAATTGCTGGATCCAACTCTAGAAATCCGATCAAGAACCAATTCTAGGAACAGATTCTCGCACTCTTCTTGTATGCTAGATTCATTATCAGCTATTAGACGAGGAATGGAATGTAGCCACTCCTTAACTACATTTCTTTCTGTGAATATCCTAAATGCCTGTAAAGCAAATGTAGACGTCAATTGAGATCAAACTAAGTAATAGATGCTATACCACAAAAATGAATGCAGAGCATAGTGAATAATCTGATAAATGCAGAAGAACAAATACATTAATTGACACTGGTATTTCTTTCCTCAAATAAGCGGAGAAGTTCATATCACTCAGCAGTTTGCTACATGACCATGTAGAGATAATGGTAGTGTAATGTATTTTTTTCTTTCTCTGGATCAACGGCATCTCCACTCCCAGTTAAAGAAGTGGAAGTTAGAAATTAGAATTAAGCATGTCTAGGGAAGTGTAACCAGAACTAATCACAAGCTGCATAATAATATCACCCCTAATTTGTACTCAACATATCTGAGCGATGATCCAGGGAACACAAGAAACTAAATGGAGGTATTTTAACTGTTATCAACGTCAACACCAATAAATTAACTGAGCCTGAATTTCAAACTAATCGTTATTAATACGACTGGAAATTTTTAACATGTATAACTTGCTATGAACCAATGTGTCTTGCCAAAGTAGAACAGTTTCAACTTCTCTGGCACTAAATTCTGAAGTCAAATCTCTCCATTATAGAAATATTGCCCATCACCTATTTAGCTAGATTGCTTAATCAGAATAAGTCAGTATAGTAACAATATAAATTGCACATAAATCACTTAACCTCTGAAAGAGCTGAAATTGCAGCTTTCCTTATGCTAACAAGTGGATCAGAACATGACATGCCCAATGTCTTAAGAAAATCTTCATCTGGAGCACTGTCCGAAAAGGATGTCAACTTAGATATTACAAGAAGAGCAGCCTTTCTGACTGCAGCCTTCTCGTCCATACACCGTTTCTTCAAAATACCATTCATTAAACTTTCGGGCATTTCGTTTCCAACTGAGTCAAACCCCAGAAACTTCTTCAACAATGCTCTTCCCTTATCATTCCCCGAAAAGAACCCAACCAGTTGAGCCAAATTCGTCAAAGCCCGAGCCCTTGTTCCAGCAGTTACATCAGAGCAACGCTGAATCAACGCCTCCAAACAACTCAAACCCCAAGGATTCTCAACCTCAACATCCAAATCCCACCCGAACGGATCATTTAACGACATCATTAAAGCTGGAATAAGGTCCACAGCTAATAACCTCAGCTGTGGTTTCCCTTGGCTCATCTTCACTACATAACTAGCAAACCTGTCTTGATCCTCAAAGTCTATAACTTTAACCATTTCCACAATGGCTTCAACAGCTGCAGCCCTTGCCTCAGCCTTTTCGGGTGCCTTTTGCACAATGTACCTTGGCAAATTCAGAACTGCTTCTTTTATATCATCGGATTCTTTCGCCAACCCCATGATCATTCTATTCACCACAAATTCCAAAGCTAAAGTCTTTGCTGGTGATTTAACCAATAAAATCAAAGGTGTTACTGACTTTAATACCTCAACAGCTGAATTCTTTTGATCCCCATGTTCATTTTTTAGCACTTCACTCATAATCTGATTGCATATATCACAAAATCTCCCATAATAACCCCCACATAAGTCAACTGCTGTAACTGCAATTTCAGCCATAGTTTGTACCAAACTCCTCAAACAATCCGGAAACCTACCCAAATGCACCAAACCTAACACCAATATCAACCTCTCAAGCACAATGAACAAAACCCTAACATCAAACTCACTCTCATATTCACTATCCTCACCATTTCTCCCTCCTCCTTTTCGACCCGGACCGGACCGGGACCTCCCTTTCTTCTTCTTCCCTTGACTATTCGAGCCCGACCCATTTGAGGAAATCGAAGAGGGTGGCTTAAAACCCTTACGAATTGAACGAAGCAGCGAGAGAAAAGCCATGGGAGTGAAGAGTGTGAAAACGGGGGAATTAGGGGTGAGAAGTAGAGATAAGTAAACTTTTGAAGCTAAAAGTGAAGTATTTAGAGGTGCTGAGTCCATGGTTGAAGAAATTGAGTTGATTAATGAAGTGGGTGAGATTTTTCTTGAAGATAATTCATCGTAAAAATCTTCAATATCTAATGGGTCTTTGGTTTTGAGAGTGTGATCTAATAGGGTTTGTAGGTCAATTAGGGTTGATTCTGAAATCGAAGTTTGAGTCATTTCGAGGTCGTTTACTATTCTTTGTATGGTGTCTTCCATGGAGAATTTGGAAGCCATTGTTGTGGCCTTCTGAAGCTTTGACTTTTCTTCAACTGTGTTCTAATCTGTTAAGAGCTTGTCGTCTTTGAATTTTTGGTTTTCCCGCTCAATTGAATCTGTCGTAATGTTTCAAAGGGGTATCCAAATTTTTTTATTTTTAAATTACAAAAATGAGTGGAAAGATATTGAGAATATGAAACCTTTTTCTATTTTTTTTTTCACCAACTTTTTTGAGACTTGTAAATACAGTCTTTCAGCTTACAGAGTTGGTGTTAATTTTTTGAAATTGAGAATAAAATTTAACTTGAACATGACGAATATTTTTTAAGTTTGAAATTGTAGTTTGTATGTGTATTTCAGAGTTCGGAATCAAAGTAAGGCAAATTGCAACTTGAAGAACTAAAGTAATATGGAAAAAAATGTAGAACCAAATTAAATTACATATAATGTATGCCTAGCATGCGCTATATCCTCCTCGCGGAACGTCCCGGCCAGGAGGGTATAGCGCATTCTAAGCTTGTACTATATGTAGTTTGGTTCTACATTTCTTTTCACGTTACTTTGATTCTTCAAGTTGTATTTTGCCTTGCTTTGATTCCGAACTCGTGTATTTGAAGTGAAAACTATTCAAATATTCAACTTCTATTCACAATTTTTTAAGAAAAAAATTAAAAAGCATATAACTATCTAAACATATCTTCTACATCCGCAATATTTTCATATAACTTTCTTGCTCTATTGATTTTTTGGAGGGCATCCTGGATCCAATTATCAATAGTACTGTTCTTTAGGGGAGTTTTATTAGTAAACGTTGTAATATGATTTGCAGTTTTAAGGCTTATAGTATAATCCTATTAGCGAGAGTCTTACAATATGAATGGTCAGTGGTGTCTGAGGAGTGTAGTGTGTACGCAAACCTTACCCCTACTTGGGGTAGAGCTCTATCCTAGGGTAGAAAGACTATTTTCGATAGACCCTCAGCATCCCTCCCTCCAAGAACTCCCCACCTTACTCTTAGGGTGACTCGAACTCACAACCTCTTGGTTAGAAGTAGAGGATGCTCACCACTAGAGCAACCCACTTGTTTACCGTGAAAATGGTAATTACATTAAATTTAATTTTGTGGTTCTAAAAATACGTGATCTATTTTTACGCTAGTTGTTAGGCAATGGAAGCTAAAGTAAGAGATTAGAAAGCAAGATAAAACAAGATTATAGTTTATAGGCGATATGATGATCGAACCGAACAGCTGGAGATTGGGGCCTCGGGATCGAGTCTGATGTCACGCCGAGGGTGGTCGATGGACGACTAACAACTATAATAAAATCAATGACGGCTCTTTATGGCCAATAATAAGCAATAAATGGAAGTAATGAGATCAAGAGAATATGTTAGAGGGCAGAGAGAATGTTCTTGTGTATTGAGCATTGAGCAACAAATGTTTACAAAATGACAAGGATCCCCTTTATATAAGAGAGAGAAAATTTAAATATAGTACAAATATATTTATTACAAAGATATGGAGTTGGTACAACTAATCAATGCTATGATACGGGCTCAGGCTAGCCTGACAGACCTTGTCGGCTCTAGCTACGCGCCTTGGGAACTCCCCACTTTTCATCACAGCCGCCAATCTATACTACCTCGAGGTCGAGCGCCGATGGCCCTCGAGGGATGAAACTCGATCGTAGTCTCGAGCCTTCGAGATGTGCTTATAAGGCGTCGTAACGACGGAAAATTGGACCCTCCGATTTTATCGTATACACCACTCTTATCATGTAATGACAAGAGTGCTAAGGCATGAAGTCGAGGTGACCTTTTCATACTCTAATATTGGATTGAACTATATGTATCGACTAATTTAAAAGTTTAAATATATTGGTCACGCATAACATTTCTATCTATATACTTATTTGGATTTATAATAATAGTAAGACAGATATGTATGTGTATTAATGTACATTTTTATCACGAAAGCTCTGTAGATAGTTTAAACATTTCTGCTAATTTAGTACATTATATTAGCAACCTTTGTAGTTAATTATTTTACCTTTTCTTTTAACTTCTGTTATTTGATTTGAACGATTGCATTGAGTATGAGTTGTAATGTAATTATATGGTTGGACAAAGAACATAATTTTTTTGTAATTCAAAAGACAATAATCAACATACGGTCAACCACCTGTATTTAGAATATCAGATTCACGTACTCCAATTTTATCAATGAAACTTCACCCAAAAACCAAAAACCAAAAACCAAAAAAAAATTAAAAAAATAATAATTAAAAAAAAATTGACTTACACAGGGTAGAGAATTTGCAAATTAAACTGGCCGCCTGAATGGAGGATTTTAATTAATGTCATTTAATTCACAAGTACAAAGAAGGTGGGTGTGGCCCCCATGGAGAACAAGATGCGGGAAGTAAGACTCAGATGGTTCGGGCACATTCAGAGGAGGAGCACTGATGCACCGGTGAGGAAGTGTGAGCGACTGGCTGTAGTGGGCACGCGGAGAGGTAGAGGAAGACCTAAGAAGTATTGGGGAGAAGTTATCAGACAGGACATGGCGCGACTTAGGATTACTGAGGACATGGCCCTTGATAGGGAATTATGGAGGTCGAGCATTAAGGTTGTAGGTTAGGGGAGAGTGTGAATATTTCTACAGCACAATAGAGTGAGACTATCCAGTTAGGAGTTAGACTAGGAATGTCATTGGTCGTCTATTGATGCAGGGCTTTACCTTCTAGTTGTACTATACCAGCCATCTATTTCATATTTCGTATTTCGTATTCTGTATTTCATATTTCATATCTCTTATATATTGTTGTTATTTTTATTACGCATTTTTATGGTACTAATATATCATCTCCTATTGCTTTTTTGAGCCGAGGGTCTCCTGGAAATAGCCTCCCCAGACCCCAGACCCCACTTGTGGAATTATACTGGGTCGTTGTTGTTGTTGTTGTTGTTGTTGTTGTTGTTGTTGTTGTTGTTGTACAAAGAATACAAAATAAATACAGTAATTACACCCTATAACGAAACTTCTTTATTTTTTTAAAATAACTCGCTAATGTACTAAAACTGGAACCAATTATATATAGACCAGAAAAATCAACTAACTGAATAAGACAGAGTGATTTAAAGTTGTTTATTGCTTTGGCTTTGTATCATTCTTCACAATCATCACAGAGCAATTTGCATGGTGTGAGCAGTAGTCACTTACACTGCCCAATACAGCCCTGCAAAATTTAAAATGAATTTCAAATCAATATTCTCAAAAAATTAGCAAACAAAAGCATATGTTATATGCACAATCATTATAAAGAATTTTTATACTACCATATTAGTTAAGTTGACCTATAACAACAGACAACAGAAAATTAATTTGAGCATACTGAATTCACAGTGATTTCTTAAGAAACTTAATCTCCTCTTAATTAGTACCCGAGCTTTAGGATTATTTCCTTCCAAGATAGAACGGATTACTGTCACTGGTGTAGCGGTACTTCAAACCCTAATGACCAACGAACTCAAAGTGGTTGTTTATAAAACGACCATTTACGCAAACCAAATGCTTGATTACATTAATCAGATCATTTAACCGAAGCCGAACCGGGCGATGACGACAGCGCGAGGCTTGCCTTCTTCTTAAATCTTTAAGAGCAAAAAGAAGTGCAATTGTATATGTACTCATCAAAACTCTTTTCCTCCTCCAATATAGGACAATGTCCTTTTGTCAAAGAGGGAAATTCAAAATTTTCATTTTTCTCTCCATTTCTCATTTACTCTATTTTATTATAAGCTTAAACCCAACTACTCGTGGCCTATGTCGCACGAAAACAACTTTACCATCATTCTAAAACTCCCTTTCAACCGATTAAATTACACTGATAGTGTAAAAACTAAAAACTACTTAAATTATATCATCATTGTATATAACTTAAACTTAATAAAACAAAATAGTAAATTATAGGTACCTTTTGAAAGCACCATAACCATGGCTACCCATGACCAAGAGAGAAGCATGGTATTTGTCAACAGCATCACAAATAACATTTCTAGCATCACCTTCATTTACTTCACATGATACATCTTTTAGTCCTTTACTCTTGCATAATTCTTTTGCTTTTTCAATAACTTTATATGCTCCTCTTTTAATATCTGTTTCTAAGAGTGTAAGCACATCAATTCTTCCTGCCACAATAAATAAACATATATCAAATATCTAAAGGATTTGCAATAACAATCCTCTATGTACAATAATGCAGTCTATTAGGTTCAATATTAGGAGTTAATACTCTATCAGGTCCAAAATAATTGTCGTTTTAATCAAATTAATTTGGTCCAAAATAAGTGTCGTTTGAAGAAACCAAGAAGGGATTAATTTTTTTTCTTCAAATTTACCCTTCATTCAAAAAATGATCTATATAATTTTTGAAAAAGTACGAGGAAAGATAAGGAGTAATTTAGTCAAATAACCCTTTTATTAAATAAATATATGCAACCACTAATTATAATGCTTGCATTAGGTTAGATTGTGTATATTACACCTCTTGGGGTATGACCATTCCTCGGGCTCTGTGTGAGCGCAAGATTCTTTGTGCACCAAGCTGCCATACTTTGCGTCGAGAATCTATCGAAAATATACTTTCAGAAAGATAGAAGTAAGGTATGTGTACACACTACCCTCCTCATACCCACTTGTAAAATTTTACATGGTATATTGTTGATGTTGTTTTGAATAAGTATGTCAAAACCTTAAACGATAAATAAAAAAGGAATAATAGATATATTTTTAATAGCAACATGAGGTTCAACATAGAGGCGGATCTAGGGCAGACTTTGTCGGTTCATTGAACCCATATATACTTTTGAACCCATATACACTTTTTTACTCGATTTATATATGTAACGTAAGAACGTACTTATTCTGAACTCACTGACTCTAAAATTATACCTGGTCCGGCCATTCCTACGGCACAAGCAGCATATGCATTAGATTTTGCATGAATAATCACAAGCTTAAAAGGGGAAGTTGAAAGAGAAGCAAAGTAATGATCAAGTGTCCATTCAAGGGCATAGAAACTATGCTCACT